TTAGGCTAGTCTCAAACTCCTGACCTCAGGTGATCCTCCCACCTTGGCCTCCTAAAGTGCTGGGATGTGTGAGCCACCACACCCGGCCTATCTTTCTGGTGTTCATCTTCAGGTCCCCTACTCCAGATAGAGGGGCCTTACCCATCATTCTGTACCACAGGGGTTGGCAATCAGCAGTCCATGGGCCACATCTGGGCCAACCACTGTTTTTGTCAAAGTTTTGTTGGCAGGCAGACACACCTACTCATGTACGTATTGTGTGTGGCAGCTTGAGCAGGACAGTGGCAGAGCTGAGTCCCAGACTGTATGGCCTTCAAAGACAAAAATTTACTTCCTGGCCCTTCACAGAAAAAGTGCGCCGATTCTTGCTCTATCATCACATCCCATTTGTTTTCTGTATAGCATTGCTCCCGCACTCAAATCATGGATGTGCTCATTTATTTAACAGTCTCTCCCGCAGCTTATCTCTCCTGCTAAACGGTAAGCTATGCAAATATAGGGGGCCCCCAAATGGTTCTCCATGTCCTAGTACAGTGCCTGGGCTACGGAGACACTGCACTACACTATATATATATTTTAAAGATTGAGGGCCGGGCGCGGTGGCTCACGCCTGTAATCCCAGCACTTTGGGAGGCCGAGGCGGGTGGATCACGAGGTCAAGAGATCGAGACCATCCTGGTCAACATGGTGAAACCCCGTCTCTACTTAAAATACAAAAATTAGCTGGGCATGGTGGCGCACGCCTGTAGTCCCAGCTACTCGGGAGGCTGAGGCAGGAGAATTGCCTGAACCCAGGAGGCGGAGGTTGCGGTGAGCCGAGATCGCGCCATTGCACTCCAGCCTGGGTAACAAGAGCGAAACTCCGTCTCAAAAAAAAAAAAAAAAAAAAGATTGAAATGGGTTAGGTGCAGTGGCTCATGCCTGTAATCCCAGCACTTTTAGAGGCCAAGGCAGGTGGATCATCTGAAGTCAGGAATTTGAGACCAGCCTGGCCAGCAAAGCAAAACCCTATCTTTACTAAAAATACAAAAAATCTGCTGATGACATGCAGCTAAAAAAAAGAAAAGAAAAAACAAATACAAAAAGTCAGCGGGGCATGGTGGCAGGTGCCTGTAAACCCAGCTACTTGGGAAGCTGAGGCCGTAGAATCACTTTAACCCAGAACGCAGAGGTTGCAGTGAGCCAAGATAGCGCCATTGCACTCCAGCTTGGACAACAGTGAGACTCTGTCCTCCAAAAAAAAAAAAAAAAAAAAGAAAGAAAAAGAAAAATGAAAATCCCCAAATCTTGATTTTAACTGAAACAGAAGAGTTACACAGCAAGACTGAGGATTCTTGGGGAGGGGGTTTTTGCCACCACCACTTGCTCCCCTCCCACCCCATTCTTTCAGGGGGTCAGGGGTGCAGGTGCCACTGACCGATGCAGGATGAACAGGAGGCAGATGAGGCCAACAGCAAAGGCCCAGCACAGGTAGGTGACCGCCAGATGTGGGCGGGGTGGGTAGAAGCCATAGAACAGAGGAGACCATTCCAAGTAACCCTGTGGGGGGAAGGTGGGTCAGGGGCCACTGTGGGAAGAGGCAGGACTCCTGGCGCTGCATAATCGGGGTCTGGGGTCAGGGTTTGAGGTGCGTGTCATTGAAAGCACAGGGCTCAGCCAGGGGCAGTGGCTCAGACCTGTAATCTCAGCACTTTGGGAGGCCAAGGTGGGCGGATCACTTGAGATCTGGAGTTCGAGACCAGCCTGACCAACATGGTGAAACCCTATCTCTACTAAAAATACAAAATTAGCTGGGCATGGTGGGCATGCCTGTAATACCAGCTACTTCGGAAGCTGAGGCAGGAGAATCGCTTGAACCCAGGAGGAGATTGCAGTGAGCCGAGATCACGCCATTCCACTCCAGCCTGGGCAACAAGAGGGAAACTCCGAAGGACTCCGTCTCAAAAAATAAAAAATAAAAAATAAGGGCTCACAGTGGGGTGGGGGAATCTCCCAGGGACCCAGGCACCTACTTCTCCCGAGAGCAAGTTGAAGAGCTGGGTGTCGAAGGTGACCAGGCCCTGGGAGTGGGGGTTGTAGAAGCCGCAGGGCGAGGAGGTGTTGAGGCCGGGAGGGCCTGGGGGAGCGCCTTCCAACCAGGTGGGCAGCAGCGTCATGCAGGCCATAAGCACTGAGGCTAGCAGGTTGAGAAGGAGCAGGAAGCGCAGCAGAGAGAAGTAGGACTCGGTGCCGGCGCCAAACTGACCTGCAGGGGGCAGCAGAGAGAGAGGCTGAGGTTCCTTCCTGGGAGCAGGACCAGCCCCTCCCGCCCCGGGACTGGGGGCCCAGCTGCGCCTTTTTCTTTTTTCTTTTTTTTGAGACGCAGTCTCTCTCCATCGCCCAGGCTGGAGTGCAGTGACGGGATCTCGGCTCACTGCAACCTCTGCCTCCCGGTTCAAGCGATTCTCCTGCCTCAGCCTCCCGAGTAGCTAGGATTACAGGTGCAGGCCACCACACCCGGCTAATTTTTGTATTTTTGGTAGAGACTGGGTTTTACCGACCTCAGATGATCCACCTGCCTCGGCCTCCCAAAGTGCTGGGATTACAGGCGTGAGCCACCGCGCCCGGCCCAGCGGCGCCTTTCTCGGACCCGAGTTCAGGCCCCCAGCCCCTCCTCCCTCAGACCCAGAATCCAGACCCCAGCCCCTCCTCCCTCAGACCCAGGAGTCCAGGACCCCAGTCCCTTCACCCTCAGACCCAAAAGTCCATAGCCCAGGGTCCTCTTCCCTCGCATTCTGGAGTCCAGGCCCTGCCCCAGGACACCACCCCACCACCGCCGCACCCCCGATCCTCTTCAGTGTCCATGCCCAGGGCTGCAGGCGCTGCAAGCCTTCCTTTGTTTTCTCCTTGGACCTCCGAAGCAGCCGTGCCCATTGGTCCATCCTAGATCCAGAGCCATGGACCAACTGGTCCCCGGCGTGGCTTTGCCTGGAGGGGGGAAACAGGCAGAAAATGAGGGGTTTCGCAGCCCCAGACTGGGAAACACCCGAGTGTAGAAACAACTCAACAGATCAGGCCGGGCACGGTGGCTCAAACCTGTAATCCCAGCACTTTGGGAGGCCGAGGCGGGTGGATCACGAGGTCAAGAGATCGAGACCATCCTGGTCAACATGGTGAAACCGTGTCTCTACTAAAAATACAAAAAAAATCAGCTGGGCATGGTGGTGCGTGCCTGTAATCCCAGCTACTCAGGAGGCTGAGGCAGGAGAATTGCCTGAACCCAGGAGGCGGAGGTTGCGGTGAGCCGAGATTTCGCCATTGCACTCCAGCCTGGGTAACAAGAGCGAAACTCCATCTCAAAAAAACAAAACAAAACAACCACAAAAAAAAACAGATCAGAGAAGTGTGGCCTATACATAGGGTAGAATACTCTGTAGCAATAAAAAAGAAACCAACCAACCAGCTGGGCACGGTGACTTATGCCTGTAATCCCAGCAGTTTGGGAGGCCACGGCGGGTGGATCACCTGAAGTCAGGAGTTCGAGACCAGCCTGACCAACATGGCGAAATCTCGTCTCTACTAAAAATACCAAAAAAAAAAAAAAAAAAAAAAATAGCTGGGTGGCGGGAACATGTAATCCCAGCTACTTGGGAGGCTGAGGCAGGAGAGTTGCTTCTATCTGGGAGGCCGAGGTTGCAGTGAATTGAGATGGCACCACTGCACTCCAGTCTGGGTGACAGAACAAGACCCTGTCTCAGAAAAAAAAAAAGGTTAGGGAGGCCGGGCGCGGTGGCTCACGCCTGTAATCCCAGCACTTTGGGAGGCCGAGGCGGGTGGATCACGAGGTCAAGAGATCGAGACCATCCTGGTCAACATGGTGAAACCCCGTCTCTACTAAAACTACAAAAAATTAGCTGGGCATGGTGGCGCGTGCCTGTAATCCCAGCTACTCAGGAAGCTGAGGCAGGAGAATTGCCTGAACCCAGGAGGCGGAGGTTGCGGTGAGCCGAGA